TTCTTCCCGCCTCCCCCCCCCAAAACGTTCATCCATCGGTGTCCTCCATGTTCTCCCCCCTCCCCCCCCTCCATGTTCTCCGGTTCCCCTCCCAGAGCTAGACACACACGGGCACCGTCACCGGGCCGGGGCTCAAACACCCCCATGATGGCCGTCTTCCGGCGAACATCTCGATGGGCGGCACCCGACAAGTGTGCCCACGATTCGTTGTAACTGCGAGAGCTTGGCAGAACCTTCCCGAAAACAGAGTCTAGAGACTCTGTACGGCTTTCCTGGCTAAACAAACTTAACAACAACAACAATAATATTACACAATAACCTGCCTCTCCATTCGTCACTAACCGAGGGCTACGGCTTGCGTGACAAGCGCTAACCCCCTCCCCCCTTCCCCCCCCCCCCCCCCCCAGGGCGGGCTCCCTGGCGCGCAACGACGCGGTGATTATTTGTAACGGCGCGGGAGGGTCGGTGATCCAGGTCACAAACCGAATCCGGCATCGTCGCAATTTCACCGCCTCGCTGCGCTTCGTGTTCATCTTTTGACTTTGCCGAGCGTTGCGCCGCGGTGCCCGTTTGCATGCAGCGTGAGGGATCTGATTCGCTCGGACGTTTGCAGAGTTGGTAAACTATCGATCGCCGCCTTATTGTCAGGGACCCATAGACTTACTCAGGCACCCATTGACCTACACAGAACCCATAGACTTACACAGGACCCATAGACTTACACAGAACCCATAGACTTACACAGGACCCATAGACTTACATAGAACCCATAGACTTACACAAGACCCATAGACTTAGATAGAACCCATAGACTTACACAGAACCCATAGACTTACACAGGACCCATAGACTTACATAGAACCCATAGACTTACACAGGACCCATAGACTTAGATAGAACCCATAGACTTACACAGGACCCATAAACTTACGTATGATTCATAGTCTTGCATGAAATCCCTTTACCAGGGGGATCCCATGGCAGTCAAGTTGTGCCACTGCACCAAGTGCGTGTGTATGTGTGTCACGGTGATGCCGTGCGTGCGTGTGTGCGTGCATGCGTGTGTGTGTGCGTTTAGCTGGCGGAGACGCCGGGAGCAGTGGGCGCAGCAGGAGGAGCGCCGGCTGCGCTGTTCCCGCTCACGCCGCTGCACTGCGGCATCAAGAGCCTCGCGCAGACCCAGGCGCTCATGCTCGGTACGCCAGGGGCCGTCGGCAGTTTCGTTGCACGCAGTTGCCGAGCACAGGCACGAAACGTCACGCGGCCAGCAACAAACGGCACCGTGAAAACCGTCGGAGAGTTGTTTCCGCGTCCCGTTGGCGACTGCCACCCGTGTGCCGTGCGTGTGTAGAGAGCGGCGGTGGCAGCATGCCGTCCCTGTCGCCGCTGGAGACGCTGCACAACGCTCTGTCGCTGCGCCAGGTCGACGCGTTCCTCACTGCCGTCTCGTCGGGGCCCCCCGTCTCCTCCGTGCCCGGTAGCCCACGTGCCCCCCACCCCACCCCCCCGCCACTCGTCTGTGTTTCTGCAAACTTTTTCATTCATGTTCCCGATTTTGTCGATTCCATCCCGTGTGCCCGCGTGTGTCCGCACTTGCATTACGTCCTTGTCCATGCGCAAGTTGGTGTCCGTGCCTGTCATAGACTTACATAGGATTACATAGGACCCATAGACTTACATAGGATTACATAGGACCCATAGACTTACATAGGATTACATAGGACCCATTGACTTACACAGGATTACATAGGACCCATAGACTTACACAGGATTACATAGGACCCATGTCGGCTTGCTGATGAAGGTTGCAAGCATGAATTTCATCATTGCTTAAGGCTGGGATTGGCATCCTCCCCTCCCTCCTCCTGATGCCGAGGGGAAATGGGTGAAGTTCAGGACTGTGGCTCGTGCAGCTGCTGTGGCTGCATTGGGGACACTTGGTGATGTCACCGCTACTTGGTGATGTCACCACTACTCGGTGATGTCACCGCTACTCGGTGACGTCACCGCTAATCAGTGATGTCACCGCTACTCGGTAATGTCACCACTACTTGGTGGCGAACAACGGTTGTTCTTGTTGTGTGCAAGCAATTGTGCGCGTGAACACGTATTCCGGTGTGTGAATTTAAACGTATGCGTGCGTACAAGTGCGTATGTGCGTGATTGTCTGCGCGTGCGTACACGTCTTACACGCCATCGTTCTCTTTGTTTCAGTCGCCGCCCCTGGCTCGCCGGCCTCCGTCGCTTCTTGCCAACCAAATGAATTGCCCGTCAACCGGCCGGACGACGTGCCTGCGAGCCAATCGAACGGCTTGCCTCTCGGCCAATGAGCCGGTCGCTCTGCCGCGGCGCCGCCCGCGAGGCGCCTGGCGACTCGTCCCCACGCGCGCCGAGACTCGTGGACGCGGAGTGACTCGGGCCCTGGCCTGGCCTCGACGGCTCGGGCTCGGAGCCCCGCTCGGTGGTCGCTTGGCGAGAAGCGGCTCGGACGTGGGCCGGGATTCGGCTCGGAGCCCGGTTCAGGGCCACGCCTAAGACCACAGGCCTCGTCCCCGTGCCGCTCACTGTGATCTCGGGGGGGGGGGGGGGCAACGCGGACCGGCACCAACTCGTCCGTGCCCCGGTAGCGCAAGGAAACAAGCTCCGTCCCATGGACACCCCCCCCCCCCCCGCCAGCGACCACCACGCGGTGGACGGCGGGGAATTCAACTTCCATGTATTTTGTTTGTTTACGATCAAAGCCAAAGTTTACTTTGCGTGTTTTCTCTGTGACTTGCCCGAAAACTTGAACAAACGCCAACATTGCCAAGGTCCGTAAGACTTTCCTTAGCCATCGCGTCCGCGGAGTTCCCCGGTACGCGCCGCCTCGTGCCGTCGTCGCCCCGACACAATATACCGCGCGCCGCAGAGGTCGCAGCACTTAGGTCAATTGTGGCTCGCGGTCGGAAGGTCGCGAGTTCAAATCCCCGTTGAGGGGGTTGAGGGTTTGATATCGGCCCATCATTCCTAAATCCGGGGTTGATAAAAACGAGAACCACTTTGTGAGGGTCAGCGGTCGGTATCCCGATTCATAATTGAGTTTTGGGTGAGTCCGCGCTGTAATGGCGTGGCCAAATTTGTGTCGTCAAGAACCCTCCACCACCCGACATAGCTGAGCAATGTAAATCGTCACGTGGTGTACAAGCGTTTTATTGTCAGTGCGCCCGTTGTCATTGCGCCCGCTGTTATTGCGCCAGCTGGCTCGCCCGACGAGTCGAATAACAATCCTCACTCTGCCATATTTAGCGGCGATCGGATGCGCAACGTTTCGCTTGGAACTGCGCCAAACATCCTCAGGACAAGCTCCAAGAAGTCGTAATAAAAACCCGAACCCAAAGATACATTCACAATGACTCATTGGCAACCACCGGCACGTTAAGTTGGTGGTTGTCCTGAGAGACTTGCCTCCGTCCGTCACAGGAATGTCCAACTACGACTCTGCAGGGCTGTAAACAGTCGGTGAGCACCAATGTCTCTCTCGAGGCTCCTGGGAGCAGCAGGAATGCCCTTTGGCTGCGTTTGTCACCGCAGTGGGCACATTGTGAGACTTGTCCTCCAGGGGACCAGTGCCTTCGTTGTTACTGCACTATACGGGTGGCGGCGGTGCGGCGGTGCCCCCCCTCGTGCCTTACAGCAAGAAGCGCCTGAGTTCGATTCCCGACTCGGACACCCTTTCTGTGTAGAGTTTCTACGTTCTCCCCGTTCTGCACGTGGTCCCTCCGGGCTCTCTGGGTTCCCGCCCATAGCTAAACCAACACACAGTGGGACCGACTCGTATCGGCCAAAACATCCCAATGCTGAAAAATCGCTCGCAAATTATTTAATGGGGATCACGCAACAGCAGCAGCACCTCACTACTCAACTGTGAAAACTTGGCAGGACCCTCCTGAAAGAGAATATTGAGACTCAGTGAGGCTTTCCTGGGTAGCAAAGCATAATTATAATACGAATATCCAATGGCCAAACTGTACTGTATTTTCAATGCCTTTCGCTGGCCACACATTAAAACAAAGATCCCGTGTATAGCCTTAACAGGCACCTATGAAAGCTGGCGCGACATACGAGGGGGGTGGGTGACCAGCACCACACCCGGCCCGCCTTCATCTCCCCACTGGCGATGTTTACACCAAGTATGAATTTGAGGCCGAGTCGACCTAGGGAAGGCCCAGGCCCAGTCCAGACAATCGTCACTGGTGTTGTCCGTGAGCTGGAATCGAACTCGGGTCACCGGTTTCGCAGTGCCGTTCGCTAACCGCTGCACTAACCGCTCCCCACACGCAGCGCCCCCCCCCCCCCCATCGGCAGCTATCTCTGTGCGGCACCAGGCGACTCGGCAGCCGTCAGTCCGCCGCCGGCAGGAGACGGCAGCTGCTGCTCGGTGCGTCATCCCCACCGAGTCACCTTTGGCGGCGCCATTGTTCTAATTTGGCAAATTGGGACGGCGACGGCAGCGCCAGATGCCCGAGCGACTCGCTGAGAATGACGCCGTGGGACATCCCCCGGCCGCTGCGAGTGACGCAGACGGCATGGAGGAGCGTCGTCCGGCTAATACGCACGCCGCAGCGTTCACCAGGGTGGCCGCTGTGAGTCTGGACACCGTCCGTGGTGAACCGACGGTGCCGTGAATTATTGATGACGCCCGCAGTAATAACCGGGGCGGCCTGCCGGATTGAAATTGCGAAGCTCTGCAACGAGTGGGGAATGCCCTACCGCTCGGCCACGACGTCACGGCCCCATGAGGTCGTGATGCGGCTCGCCGTGATCCCAGTCGCGACTCGGCTCAGGCCTGGCTCTGGCTCCAGCGAGCCTTAACTTGAGCCACCTCCGAGCACGCTCCCGGTCGCGCTCAGGATTCCCAGAGCCGAGCCTGAGCCAGGGCTGAGCCGTTTCACTCGTGCGGTCTTTGGAAGGAACCGAGCGGCCGAACGGAACTATCCGTGAGCTCGCAGATCACAATGGTGACGAGTCGCACGCGCCCCGCGATTGTGAAACGTCCTTGAACGCCCGCGACTCGGGAAGAAGGGGGCAGGGGGCGGATTTGTACCCACGCCTCGCGGGAGCCCCCCGAATCTCAATAAATATTTTTGTATTCGCCAGCTGAACGGCGCCGTGGAGTGGATTCTTGTGCATGCGAACGTGCGTGCGAGCGTGCGTGCGTGCGAGCGTGCGTGCGAGCGTGTGTGCGAGCATGCATCTAGGCGCTTCACGCAGCTTACAAAAACGGTGACACAGAATGCAACGACTTGGATGGCAGCGGGAGTGCAAGGATGGAGGTTGGAGTCACAGCGATAAGAGGGTAGTTTGTAGGAGGGGAAGAGCATTGGCATAGCTCTCAACACATATGGTTTACCCCGTATTCTTGTGCAGGGAAGTATTAGATTTGAGGTCCATACGGCGTACAACCGTTTCAATCCGGGCAAAAAAATTTTGTTTCTCCAATGTGATGGTATTTTGTAGGATGAACGTTGAGATTTCTAAGGGCATTAGGTGACCAATATGGTCTGAGTTGGTTTGTAAGAAGGTAGGCACAGATAAGGGGTTGACAGCTGTGAATTGGCGAGAGAAGAGGTGGGCTTTCGCGACAGATGTTACGATTCGAAATGGATTTATTTTGGGGGTCGGATCACCGCGCGAGTACAATGCCAATGTTGTGTCGTACACCCTCCTCTGCCCGACACAGCCAAATAAATGAGGCCATCGCGTGAACGCGTGCGCGCGCGTGGTGAATAGCATTATGGTTTCTCAGTGCACCGGTACGTGGGTACAGCGATCCACACACGTCCAACACAGCCGTAGCAAGCGGCGTGTCTGTTCGCGTCGCCGCTTAATTTCTTTGGCCGTGTCAGGTGGAGGAGGGTGCAAGGCACACATTGGCATTGTATTCACGCAATCTAACCCAGGAAGCATTTGCGAATCGTAATATTGCTCTTGTTCGAACTGCTGCTGAGACGCAGAAGATCAAAACCTGTACAGAATCCGCTTGGACAACTACTTGCGGTTTAAGATGAGGCGAGTGGGACAGTAGGCCGGCAGGTTGTGTTGGCGCGTCGTGAAACGCAACGTTTATTTACATCTCTCATTACCCAGCATGCACCTGCACAGCTCATCACAAGTTTCTGTCCACGACTAATTGGCACAGAACACGACTCAAGGTTCGCACGCTGCGCCACCCCCGTCGCTAGCGCCGCACGCTGCGCTCCCCTCGTCGCTGGCGCCGCACGCTCCGCGGCGGTCGTCCCCGGTCCCCGCGGCGGCGTCTTCCCGGAGCAGCGCCGCCAGCTCGCGGGCCAGCGCTCGGAACGGCTGCTCGGCGAGCGAGTGTCCGCCGATGACGCCGGCCGCCTGCGCCTCGGTGATCGTCTCGAAGAGGCGGCGGCTCGCCAGCGGCACGTGCCCCGCCAGCTCGCACAGCGCCACGTTGAACCGCGCGGCGCCGTCTTCCTCCTCTGCCCGGGGCGCCAGCTCCTTGGCGCCGGGGCACGGCTCGCGCGGCCACACCAGCGCGCGCACCCCGCTCGGCGCGACGCCGCCGTCGCCGCGCGGCCGCGGCGGGCCGGGCGGCGCCCCCCGGCACACGAACACGTTGTGCGCGTAGCCGCGGAGCGCCAGGCGGGAGGCGACGGCGTGCAGGCGGCGCGCCAGCCGCCCCGCCGCGTCGGCGCTCGCCTCCTCCTCGTACAGCAGGAAGCCCCGCGCCGGGTGGGAGGGCGGCCCCAGCTCGTGCAGCGGGCTGCCCTCCTCCACCGCCGCCGCGGGCGCCCGCTCGGCCAGCAGCGCGCGCTCCAGGTAGTAGGCGTGCAGGTGCAGGTGGTTGACGGAGGCGAGGGCGCACAGCGAGTTGAAGCCCACGCGCAGGCCCCGGCGCGAGCTCAGCAGTAGCGCGTCGACGCCGAGCCGGGCGGCGCGCTCGGTCAGCGCCTGCGGGAGGCGCAGGCCGGGCGCCGGCACGAGCAGCACGTGGCCGCGCTCGATAGGGCTCGCGTTGACCAGCACGAGGTCGCCCGGCGACTCGGCCACGTCGTCGCTCCGCCGCATCTCCAGGAGGATCTCGGCGGGCGGGACGCGCGTGAAGTTGAACAGCTCCGGCTGGAAGGGCTGGTCCAGGCGCCGGGCGTCCTGCGCGGGCCGGCGCAGGGCGGTCCTCTCGGGGTTCAGCTGCACGAGGAGGCCCAAGGGCCCCGGGAGGCGGCGCGTGGGCGGCGGCGCGCGCAGCGCGTAGCGGAAGACCCCCCCGGCCTCCATGCGCTCGTCCCACAGCCGCAGCAGCGCCTCGTCGAAGCGACGCCCCGAGGCGCCGCTCCGCAGATCCGCGTCCGAGTAGCGGAACACCTCGGGCGGCGGGGACGGGCGGCCAGCACCGCTCGCCGACATGGCCCCGCGGACGCGTGGGCGGCGACGACGACGCGCGCGTGATCCACCAACCCTCACGGCTGCCTCCGCAGTGCGAGCCACGTGCTCCACCCCGACTGCAGTGCACAGGACGGGGGGGGGGGGTTAGCGTCGCGCTGTGAACCTGGCGACCTAAGCTGCTTGGCGATGGTCTTGTAGCCCATTCCAGCCTTGTGTTGGTCTACAATCTTGTCCCTGACATCCTTGGAGGGCTCTTTGGTCTTGGCCATGGTGGAGAGTTTGGAATCTGATTGATTGATTGCTTCTGTGAACAGGTGTCTTTTATACAGGTAACAAGCTGAGATTAGGAGCACTCCCTTTAAGAGTGTGCTCCTAATCTCAGCTCGTTACCTGTATAAAAGACACCTGGGAGCCAGAAATCTTTCTGATTGAGCGGGGGTCAAATACTTATTTCCCTCATTAAAATGCAAATCAATTTATAACCTTTTTTGACATGCGTTTTTCTGGATTTTGTTGTTGTTATTCTGTCTCTCACTGTTCAAATAAACCTACCATTAAATTTATAGACTGATCATTTCTTTGTCAGTGGGCAAACGTACAAAGTCAGCAGGAGATCAAATACTTTTTTCCCTCACTGTAGGTTCGATTCCCGGCCACGGCTAACGTCAGTGGCGAGTGACATCTCAACCGGTTGGTGGGGGGCCCCTTTTAACGAGCCCGCGCTGACCATCCGTGGTCGTGTCCCGTCGCAGTCCGCACGACCTTCATCCAGCAGTGGATCGAGCAAAGAGCTGAGCACCATTGTATATTAATCGAGCAGTGGGGCCTGGGCACCGCACACCGCCTGTGGCGATGCCGGGGACGAGGCTCACGATGGAATGGCAGCCTCAGGAGAGACCGCGCGAGAGGCGCCACCGCGGAGATGGAGCGATGGAATCGAATCGGCTGCGGCGTCGGAGAACCGCGCGTGCCGATTGATGCCGGCGTGGGCGTCGGCCTTCAAGCGGCAGCGGACAAGCCCTGGCAGACGATCAACATCCCGTCGCATCATCCAACACCGCGAACGAGCCGTCCATTCACGGTGTTGGGATGACGACCTCACGCCGTCTCGGTATGCGGAGGAGCGGTGGCGCGAGTGGTGAGCGTACCGCGAGTTCGACTCCCGCAATCAGCTGGCGGGACGGGACGATCCGAACCCCCCCGGCCCCCACCCCCCCGGCCCCCACCCCCCGGCCCCCACCCCCCCGGCCCCCACCCCCCGGCCCCCACTCACGGGGCCGTCCCTGCACGAGCCGCGAGGAAGTCGCTCGTCCAGCAGCGGATCGAGCAAAGTGACGAGGGAGAGCGCCGTGGGGACGCGCGCGCGCGCGACCTCCCCCCCCGCCTCTCCCCTCCACGTGGCGACCCGGAAGTCGCCGCACGCGCGAACCACGTGGGCGGCACAGCTGTCGAGCACAGTGGCACTGCGCCCCCCGTGGGATCCCGCCATTCACGGCCCCCCCCCTCCCTCCCCCTTTCTCAATCCACTGCTGGATGGAGGCCACGCTGCTGCCGGTCACGGAGGCCGTCTGACCATACTTCACCACGCCGGTCAGTGCGCTTGCTCACCACTGCGCCACCGCTCCCCACACTCACCGCGCCAACCACTGCGCCACCGCTCCCCAAACTCACCGCGCTCACCACTGCGCCACCGCTCCCCACACTCACCGCGACAGTGGAGTGGTTAGCAACGCGCCGGACCTCCGAGTTGATCACCCGGCGCGCCACTTGGAGTGTCCCCGAGCCGTACCGCGGGCACGCCCGTGAGGGGGGCAGGTCGCCTGTGGGCGGGGAGGGGGGTCAAGGCGTGCGTCACGCCCCGCGTGTTCCAAGGCGTCTGGTGAGTGTGGAAGAGGAGGACAAATACCCCCCCCCCCCTCGAGAGAGAGAGAGAGAGCTCCCTGTAACCGAGTCTCTTCTGCCAGCAGCGGCTTGAGCGAGCACTTTCAGGGCTGCGCCGTTACCTCTTTCAGACGCGCTTCTGCGGCCGTGTGGAACGCGTTTCCGTGAGATGTGAGGAAGCGGAGCTGTGCACTTTGAAGTCGTCGAGATTGACAAACGCATTTCTCTCGAGCTGATTTTTGTGTTGAGTTTATTGTCCTTCCCCCGCACCTCCGATTAGCACGGTTGGCAATGTACGGTGCGAAAGAAGGTGCAACGTGCACACACAGTTCGTTAACACTTGCAGAGCTGCGCCTTTACCCACCCCCTCCCATCTCCCATCCCAGGGTCCTGGGGTCCTGCAGCCGCTGAACTCGTTCGCGACGAGCGGCGATGTTTGTGGAACGGCCCGAGAGCTCGAGAGAGAGACCGGGCCAAGAGCAGCGGTGTTCGTTTGCACACGTGACCCGGGTCACCAGGAACAACAACATCAACACAAAGTACAACAGCGAAGCAAAGTACGAAGCGGGGCGACCAGAGGTCAAAGTAAGCGACAAAAAGACGCCGAGTAGAAGTCGGAGTTGAAACAACCAAGTCGAGATCTGCTCGCTCGGCGAGCCAGCTGGGTCACTGGCGACGAGGCTGCGCCCCCGTCCTCTCCCGCCGACCGCTCGCGCCGTGCGTGGCCCGGGGACGTCATGGACCTCGACGCCGTCGCGCTGCCCGCCCAGCACAGGCTGCGGCGTGTCCGCGCGTTCCGCGCGCTCCGCCCGTACCTCGTCCCCGGAGCTCGGAGCCGCGAGCGGGCCGAGCGGCGGCGCAGCGGTGACCCGCGACTGCGCGTGGGAGGGGGACACGGGGCGAGCGGGGGCCACTTACACCAACGGGGTTCCTGTGGCGGCAGCCGGCACTTCCTCGAGCGACCGAAGGCCGACCCTGGCCGCCCAGTCGCCGATCGTCACCGTCGCCGCCGCCACCGCCGTCCTCCTGCGCAGCCTGCGGAGTTGAGCGTGACGGACGTGACGAGCAAGGTGAACGAGATGAACGTGAATGAGGCGACTGCGTCGGTGACGGAGATGACCCCGACCAACACGGATATTACGCTCCGCAGCGTTAACCGGGGCAGACCGCCGGGGTCGAACCGCGAATCTGCGCAACGAGCGGCGATCGCCCTCCCGCCGGGCCGCCGCCCCGACTCCCCGGTGGCGCGGCGGTCGTTCGTCCAAGATGGGCGGATCACGCGATAAGATCTTCAAACGGGACGCGCTACAAACGGGACGCGCTACAAACGGGACGCGCTATTGCCGCCGTCAAGTTTACGGTCGCAGTGCTCCTTATCGGCGCGGGGCCGAGCGGGCTGGCTCTGCATCTGGCCGCCGCGTCGTTCACCGGCCCGGCGGCGGCGGTAGCCGGGTTCACCGCCGAGGTTGCTCCGCGGGGTCTCGGTGAGAGCGCAGTGAGTGGCACCGTGGGGGGGGGGGCAGTGAGTGGCACCGTTGGGGGGGGGGGGGGCAGCCCAGTGGTAACACTCGGCCTGGGTTCCATTGCCGACTCGGGCGCGTTATCCCGCAGAGTTTGTGTGTTCTCTCTCTCTCCCGTAGCCAAATATATATTTATATAAAAGAGTCACAATGTAACCGGTATTGGCTGAAACTACATCGCAGTGCTTGTAAATTAACCACAGTGGCGAGATGTGAACTCCCTCGCCTGGTATGCAGGAGATAGCGGGTTCGATCTCAACCCTGATGCCTGCTGCTGTATATTTGGCGTTTGCATGTCTCTCTCTCTCTTTCTCCCTGTGGTCGCGTGGATTCTTCTCCGGATCGTCCGGTTTTTCCCTCCACATTTAGAAACGTGTGTTTTGCCGATATAAATTTCCACGTGATAAGCCACTTCGTTTAGCTATCATTTGTGGCCAGGTCGCTTGTGAAAAGAGCCACATAGCTCAGTAGGGCATTGCCTGGTGAAATAAAAAATTATTTAGTTTTATATTAGTTTCAACCAGCAAATTACTCAATTGGCATCACACAGCAACATCTCCCTCGACTGCGACAACTTGGCAGGACCCTCGTGAAAAGGAGACTCGGTGAGGCTTTCCTGCAGGGTCCTTCCCCCGCACCTCCGACGAGCACGATTGGCTACGTACGGTGCGAAAGAAGTTCAACATACGTGAACAAGCGCAGTAACATTGCCATCACTGTGACTGCTTTGCGTCGAATTCTATGAAGTGCAGTGAGGCAAGACCTGGGGGGCAGTCCGCCCCAGGTATTACAGTGCCCCCGTGACAAAATTTGGGTCACAATCTCTCGCTATCGCGTCTGTGCGTGCGTGGTTCTGGTGTTGTTTAGTCAACAACGAGCGGGCGGCTAAAGCACAGCAAGTTGCACAGTAGGGGGCACAGGTGATGCATCGGCAAGTAGTCTCGGTCATCTCAGTCAGTCGACCCGTGGCACCTGGGTCTGCCCCGTGACCTCCTGCCAGCGGGCGTTCGACACTTCACGTGGCCTTAACGTGCACATAGCCTGGCGCAAGCGCCGTGGTGACATCGCCGCCACTTAGTGGCGAATGGCGGCTGTTGTTGTTGTTATTGGTCTGTTGTCCTTCCCCGCACCTCCGATTGGCCTGGTTGGCTTCGTACGGTGCGATCGAAGTTCAACGTGCTTACGTGCGGGAGCACCCGGCCTCCTCCCTGCCCCTGTGCAGCTGTGCAGCGTCACGTGAAGAATAAAAATTCAATTTCAACAGTTCCACTGCTCGCTTCTTTGCTTTATCGTTGAAGGGGATTGGCAGTTCACCAAAAGCATTGGTCCAGGCGAGCCTCAGGCAAGCCCGAACCAGGCAAGCCCGAACCAATGCTTCTGAAATTGTGCACTGGCAGGAGTCCGTGTGGCTGGTGAGATGTGTAAACAATGACTTGGAGTTGGTTCACATGGAGGAACAGATGTGGGAAGGAGGCGAACCGTCTGCCCAGTTACTTTGTTGGCTTCTCCACACTCGAGACAGCCGTGATGGTTCGTTTGTGTTGTTAACTCCTGCTGCTCACATGAGCCACGTCAAGGCCTAGGATGCTCCTCTTCCGGTTACAGCCCCCGCAGAGCCAATGGTGGAAATTCCACATCGCTATGGCAGGCACGGCCAAGTCTCTATTGAGCTTCCGCGAGTGGCGTGGTATTGATTTTATTGCCCCCGGAGGGAGGAATGATGGGCCGAGCCGGCCTGCCCACCACAACCTAGGATTGAACTCGCGACCTTCCGCTCGCCGCCCGCTCCAACGCCGATCCGCCCGGGCCACGCGTTGGTTCACCGCGGTCGGTCCGTACGCGCGTGGGTGCAGCACTCGGTCCGTACGCGCGTGGGATCATCGCGCGTCCGTCCCGCGCTCGGTCCGCACGGGGTGAACACCAGCTGACCCCCGCTGTCCCCAGGTGACTTCGCGTCGAGAGCCCGGCCGCCCTCCGTGATTGCCACACCCGACTCAAGTCCAGCGTTTCGGACTTTGTCCCCGCGAGCCGCCTCGTGTTGTTCCTGCTGCTGCTGCTATCTGCTGCTGCTATCTGCGCTGTTATCTGCGCTGCTGTTATCTGCGCTGCTATCTGCTGGCCCGGTGCACGGGGCAGCTCAACACCGACCGTGTTGATAACCGGGCAGAGCGCTCCGTCTCCCTCCTTCCCACGTCCGCCCTCCACGTAAGTAAAGTAAAAAACAAAGCGGTTTCTATTTACAAGTCCCATCGCCCACGCGGTCTTCCTTCCCGCGAGTTCGTCATAGCGCCAGCTTTAGTTGAATTCGAGAAAAATTCTGAACCCCTTTCGACTTTTGGTGTCTCATCGGCAGGGTTGGGATTGCTTCAACCGATGCTGGAGAGCTGCCAGATGTTTATCGGCAAGCATGTGTGGCCGATGGGACGTGTGAAACAACTCTTTGAGTTTTTTTATGTGGAGAGGAAAGGTGAAGGATTTAAATTGTCCGCTCAATTATTGCGTTAATGATCATTTCCACAACTGCCACTAAACATCCGGCCGTTCACCAGCATCTGTTCAAGCAAGTCTGACTGCTGAAGAGACACTGCAAGTTGAAACGAGTCCAGAGTTTTTGCTTGTGTTGAACCAACGGTCTAAGCAGCCTGACTCTCCTGATGAGACACTGCATGTCCTCATGTCGAAACTGGGGAGACCCGGGTGGCGGATGGGAGGTGTACAAGTATAAACACGTGGTTTTTGCGGAGAGGCACACGCAACCGAAGGTTCGTCATCTCAAAACGTTCTTTGCTCTGTTCGTCGCACGGTTGCGGGCGGCGAGCGCCCTTTGCGTGCCGCACCGCCGGCGACGACGACGGGGGCCGCCGGCGGCTCTGGAGTCGTGTGCGGCTCTCGCGGAGTCACCGCCTTATCGGCGCCGCGCCGTTGCGGGTCACGCACGGCACCTGATAACGTTTGTGGCGTCTTGTAGGTGAACCCACGTGCGTGCGCGTGAGTTTACGTGACAAAGTCCATGTGAGTTTTAAGTTCACCCCGCTGGCGCTGGACGGGCACGGGGCGTGCCGGCACTCTGCGGAGGAGCGGCGCAGGAGGAGGACGGGACGCGTCGACCGCGGGAGACGTGCGCCGACAGGCACGGCACGCACGCAGCACGGACCGTGACAGGTGATTATTTAATAGGGAGGGAGTCATGGGTTTGTACGCGAGTCTATGGGTCTCGCTGTGAGTGCATGGGTCTGTGCGCGAGTCTATTCACATGCTGCTGCTGACACTCCCAGCGTGCCTCTGCCTCTACACCATCGCAGAGCGACTGCATCTTAACGACACGCTCTGATTTGTATGCCCCTTTATATTTGTTAGTCTTCATCCAGCAGCGGATAGAACATGGATTTGCGACCCGAGTTTCATTCCCAAACATGGCTAACGTCAGTGGCAAGTGATATCTGAAACTGCTCCTGGGCTTCCCCTAGATCAACTCGGCTGTAAATGAGTACCTGGTGTCGTGTGAAGTAAACATCAACACTGGGGAGACAAAGGCGGCACGGTGCCGGCCACACCGCCCGCTCGTACGTCGCAACGTCACTCGCCCCAACAGCCTCCGTGGACCACGTGCGGGGTCTCTGTCTGGGCGTGTGCCCGGCAGGCCCCGGTTTGCCGGCTCTTCCCCATGGCTCTCGGGGGCGTCCCGAACCCGGCCTACGAGCAGCAGGAGGAGGAGGAGGATGGGGGTCGTCGTGCCGCCGAGGAGCCTGCACCGGCCGAGGGGAAAAGCGGCCTCGCCGGCCCGGAAGGCGACGAAGCCGGGAGGAGGAGGAAGGAGGAGCGGGA